TGCATCGATCATTTTGTTTTGACTTTGCCTTAATTGAAAACACCTCTTTCGAACCTTAGGAGTCATGATCTTCATTTGTTACATATAGAGATGTGTTCTGTATAAGTAATCATCAGAGAAAATACTACACGTCATTGAATCATTAATTACATCGTTTACAGAGATTACATTACATAGAAGTATTGATAATTTTAAACATGTTTCATTAAATGCACATCATATGGAAAATGTCTAATTTAAAAGTTAAAGATCTTAAATTATCTTACAATTTTGTAAAATATGAGCGACGTACTGGATTCTTGAATGCTATTGGAAACTTCTGAATATGTAACAGGTTTAGATATGTTCAGAAAATGGGTTTGGATCCTGCATGATATGTTCAAGATAGATGGAGTAGTGCAAGGGTTCGTTTGGGGATGAAAAGGTTGTTCCTGTGTAAATGTATCGTCCTTGGCTGCTTCTGTGCCAGCTAACGAAGAACTGTTTTGTCTAGCCCCTTGAAGGACCTACAGAGCAATATATTATTTATGTCATTGCTGAAGGAGACAGAACTAGTCTCAGAAATACAGTGAACTTTAGAATCTTCCAATTTTTATAATTTGTCTCATTTGAATAAAAGACACTGGACAATGTCCAAGTAAAATATCATGAAATCTAATATGTTTCAAATGGAACTTAAACATTTTACTTTTTGTAATGAAGAGATGTTTAATGCTTTCTGGCCTTTTTGGTAAATAGATGAATTTGGGTTATGCTTCTTAAATTATTTGAACCAAAATTAAAACGATTTCCAGAAATTATAATACACATCCCACAGGTACGAAGTTTTCGAAATCCGTCGCTTGCTTTCGAATATGGAACGTGAGCATAAGACCTGGGCCTGAACAGGATTCGAACTCAAGAACCTCACACCCCGATTGGTTCATGAGGGCGGCCACCGGAAGTTATGAAAAAAGAACTGTGGTTTCGGTATGATCAGACTGTCCGCTATTCTGCGGTAAGAATTAAATATTTTTGTAATGAAAACTTAGGTCCCTTCCGTACTCATCTGTTTAACTAGACAGCAGCAACCCTTCGTGGTTTGGCAGTCTTTCTTGTTTCCTTCGTGTGGTCTGTAACAAGCGTTATAAGTTTTTGGCTAGCTGTGAGAGGTGCCAGTTCAGATAGTTCAATTGTGAAAATTGTGGACTAAGGGCTGTATTCTCTACCTTTCTGTCTTCCGCCCATAACTCTCTATTCACTGGACCACAGTTGGAGGAAACGCGGGGTAGTTTCAACTGTCCGGTGCAGAATATATGGTCTGCCGAGCAGCCAAGCCACTCCGGCTGCAGATGTGCGCCGCCTGCGTTTGATACATAGTAGCCTAAACAGGCAAAAAAGGCAATTTTAAGTTTACGGCCTAGAACTGCAGAATGTGTGAAGCGTAGAGGGACAGACTTTTACGCAAGAATACTGCCACGTTCATATGTTTAGATAGCACGAAACCAGAACCAGCAACAAGGTCATGATTTCTCTTTATTACCAACGTGACAATGTATACAAGAAGAATCAAAGGTCTGTTATCTTAAAAACACCCATTTATATGGTATTTGAGATTCTCGAAACGTTGAAGGTATCGATTGTGATCGTCTTGTTTGTAACGTCATATTGACTTGTAGGTGGATACCACCGTTTCGGAGGAAAATACTGTTTCCATCTTCGGAGTCCTTCCTTGAATCACACACCACCACCGCTGCTTTTGATGTTACGTCTTCAGGAGACAGAGTCTGAAGATGGGCTCTTGACGAAGTTGCTAAATATTTTCTCCAGTGGCTAGCTTTAAAATTAGCGGTATTGGGCTTTCGACTTTGTACAGACTTGTTCCCCTGCTCCATTTCCTTATGTTACATTAGACACAATCTCCCCACCTTGTTAAATTTGCACCATATAGAGGAGCATTTCAAAGGGAAGGTGAAAATCTTAGTGAAAGAGATGTTATGTGCCCAGCGCTGTGGATGTATTACGTTGCGATTTGAATTTAATGTAAAGTGGATGTTATAGCGGAGCGATGGGAACCAGAATTTCATCTGATGAACTTCTGACTGTTGTGTTCTGCATTTCATGTAAAGTTGAGATAGCGTTAGAGCGATAGGAAGCGAAATTACTTTTAGCAAACTTTGGATTGTGGTGTCCTGTGATAACGCCGTGTAGACTTGTAGTTTGTTACCATCTTGTCGGAGGAACGTATGTAGGCATTTTATGAATTTTATATATATATATATATATGGACAGCCACGGTGGTCTAGCGGTTAGAACGCTGGCCTTGTAATCCTGGGGTCTCGGGTTCGATTCCCGGCGGTGCCCGAATTTATAACTTGTGTTGGGCAATGCCGTGGTCTAGGCAACACGGAGTTTTCCTCCGGGGGCTTCCCCGGTTTCTCCGTGGCATCCCAACAATTACTCCATTCACACACAGAAGAAGGCAATGGCAAACCACTTCTGGATTATCTGCCAAGAACGTATATGAACAGGTCCCAGTCCGAGAGAAGGATGGAAGGATCCTGTTCATATGGACCTGTCGTCAGACAGAACACTAAATAAATAAATAAAAATAAATAAATATATATATATATATTATGACCTTCATTCTGTTTGAAAATGTGTTGGAGGCATGGGCATTACCGGACGGTAGAACACATGTGTTTGTGCAAAAGTCTTGAATTAAAAACGCGTATGAGTTATTTTCCTTGCGATTTTGTATTTAATTTAATCGTTTTTCATGTCTCTCCCTATAAATATCTTAACAAACACTCGCATAAATTTTAATTGAAGTGCCGTTTTCCAATATGGCCGTCTTCCGCGGAGAGATTGTATTCGAGGGATGGGCAGAGTGTCTTAAATTTTGCGCCATCTGTATGTCTATTTTTACGTACTAGAAGGAAGCGGGCGTTACGTGTTACTCCAGAACTAAGATCCTCGTTTATGACGGGGATAAAATAGTCTAATTCAGTTACAGCATGTGACTACTCCACTGCATCGCATTGCACATCATTTTGCAGTAAATGTTTTTGTACGTCAGGAAACTTCGACTTGTCTTGATGGATGGGAATTAAGTGCAGACAGTTTTATGTTCCGTTTTATCGTCGGTTTAAAATTCAAGGTGGCACTGTCTTGTCTGCTCATAGTTATGACTCAAATAAAATAATATCCCAGTGTCAGACGTAGAATTTATGTTGCCAATACTCTTCCTAAAAGTTCTTGTGCGGTATGTGGGTTCGTATTTTTAGGGTTTCCCTTAACATTACTGTAAGACAGTGTGACCCATAGTTTATCATTCCGCCAGGAGTTCTGTAGGTGTCAGCTTGGAAACACGTCCAGTGATGATTTCGATTTTTGGAGATCGGATATTAACAGCTTATTTTGAAAATAATTAGTGTAATTTAACTCTACAGCATGAAGTCCATTCCAAAACAGTGGATTTGTTGACATACGCATATCAATTATTTTAATCCAATGCGTAAATTACGCTGTTATGAAATTCATATGATTAATTATTTCACTCGCTGTGTAAGGTCTTTTGAGTGACCTTTATTTTGTCTCAAACGTAGGCCGTTAGATTTCTGTGTTCAAATGTCCCTCTCTGAAGTGCGTATCCAGTAGTGTTTGTTGTACTGAGTTATTAAGTTATTTGGAATTCCACAAGTCGCATTTCTTCGATTTTAAGAATCACTTTCTACATCTTACATTTTCTGAAATTTAGGGGCATCTTACGTCTAAGAATTGATATCAGAAATTCATATCGTATTACTAAAGTGCAAGGTAAATCTTCATGTCTGTTAAACACAAAGATATAAAAAAAGAATATTTTGGTTTATTTTACGATGACGTTTTATATTTGAATATTAACAATTCCTGTTTCCAGCTAACTTATTATTAAGCTAAGGATGCGTATTGCACTAGACGTCGTCTTAAAATCGAGGCAATGTTGTGATTGAAAACATTAACCTACATTGACTCTTTACGATTTCTAGGGCAAAGAAAGCCTCCAACATCGTACAGTATGGTACTTTTCTAACACTTCACTTTGACTTGTTCCCTTATCTGTATTTTCACACAGAGCTGACCGAATCCATTCTCATTTAATGGTCATGGTATTCAGCGTCTCTTTTGTCATATTTATGTTCCACTGCAATTCATTTTAACGAATATTTGGATTTATGATTCCCAGGCACTTATAGACAGAGCAATAAATTGTGGTTTTCATTTTCACTCTCTGCATTAATTGTTCAGAGTTCCAAACAGTAAATTCCTGATCTGTGCACAAACTCTGATATAGCTGTAAGCCGTAATTAACTTCTATAGACGCTGAGTGAGAGTTCTAGTAATTGAAGTGTGTACTGACAGTCCCGTGGTCATTGTGCTTGAATCAAGCAGTGCGCGAGAGCTACTGTGTTGCATGAATATAAACTAGATGTACATACGATTTACCGATGCATCTGGATCGGTTGCGCGTTTGACTTGCATTCGTGAGGTACCTACTTCAAGTCTTACCTGCGTCCGTGTTCTTGCTGTGTTCTTCGGAACTTGCATGCGAATATCGGGATAGTCTTTGAATAGGCCACGATCACTTCCTCATTCCTCCCATTCCTTTCAGGCCCACAGTACACATTTACGAATGTATGAACAGTATCAGAAGATGTCGTTAAACAGTCTACAGCTGTATGGTTAAACATTTAAGCGCTTGATTTTTGTTCTCAGCGTGCTACTGGCTGTTAGCCGTGTAATAAATTAAATGTGTTCAGGACAGTTCAATCGAAATTTGCCCACAGCGTCAGTTGGTGACTGTCGGAGTCGGTTGGCTGTGGTCAGTTTCTGATTTGCTGCATCCATTGTAAGAATTATAAGTTAACACGCATTTTAGAATATTAGATTGTGGGGTTGTGAGGTACTCGTTGGGTTTTTGTGCAGGTGTGTGTGATTCAGGTTCGATGGCGTTGCTGAAGTGCATTTTTGTGTTCCAGGAACAGGCTGGAAAGCAATTCCGAGCACTGGAACGCACTGCTACTGTCTCTTAGGGAACTCATCGAATGGGTAATCCGTAAGGATACGGAACTCACTGGACTGGGACCCATTGGAGGGGACGTGGCCTGTCTACAGAAACAACAGGTAAAATACACCGAAGTAATAAGTATTTGTTCTCTTAATATACTTCAATGTTGCGTCATTTTGTTTAACAGCTATCAGACTCCGCTCAAACTCTTTGTTGTTTCTTGGCTCTACAGTAGTGAATGACCAGACCACTGAATCTGCACATTTTCTGCTCAGTCCTGATTTGACTGCCATCTAGCAGTTAATCAGGAGACTTGGGTGAGAAATGGCCGCTGAATTTTGCTTACGAAACATCTCCTATCATGATCGCAACGTTCTTTTACTTCCCCTCCGAAGGAAGTTGTGCTACAGATTTTTATCACCCTAAAAAATTCATCGACCAGTGGCGAGCACGCTAACCACTATTCCACCGAGGGCTTTTTAGATTTCTTTTAATATAAAAATGTAACACGGGGCCCTGTTATCCTCCCGCTGTCGAAAGTGAATAGCAAAATCTGTGGTTTTACAATTAGACATTTGTAAAGTTATTTCACGTCACACCTCATTTCTTGCACACCAGAAAAGTTAATGTTGGCGGCCATTTTCATAATAACTTCCGTCAGAACCTGAAATACTGTTTATTTGTAAAGATTTTATATAATCTTGTTGTGGGTACTTAATCAAATACAAGGAAATAATTTGTGAGAGTATTACGGTATTTGTACTGTGATTAGCTTTGTACAAATAAGGAATTTTTTCTGCAGAATTGCAAACAACGCTTTGGGGGGGGGGGGGATTGAGCAGGACCTACTTTTCCAGCTGCTCTGGGTAGACGGATGTTTAGTGCCTTTGCCCATTTTAAAAAATCCCAGAAACAGCGTAATACGCTGGATGGATAATAGGTTATTTAACGCTGTATCAACTGCTGCAGATCTTAAGCGACGAATGACATGATACGGTGATCGCGTTTGGTGAACTTTAAAAGATTTTAAGGATGTTACCGCTTGAGACAACTTTCTCAGTAGCAGTTAGACCGTGGGCTCTAAACCCACGGCCAGCCAGTGTCTTTTGTGTGACCCGCTAAAGCTTAAATTTGTGGAATATTGTATTACTTCGTGTATTACTACCTAAATTAAATATTTAATTTTGAGAATAATTTATATAAATAACAAATTAGCCGGGTTGTTTAAGGATATTGATGAGTAACACGTGAGCCACATTGGCATTGTTAATGGCATTTTTAATAAATTTCCATGAAGTTTTGACCGATTTTATTTATAATCTGACGACTCATGAGTCAGTATTCTGTGAATTTGGCTTCGGGTCTTTAAACGTTGAGAAATTCTGACTTAAAGCACACATTTCTTTGTCTTTATAATAACATTATCGTATATGCTGTAGGAATATAAATAAATTGCACATTAGTAAATCTCGTTTCTGTCAGTACAGAGGTCCTCAGTTCATCTTCTAGTGCTTATGCATAGGGGCACAGTATAACGTGAATTCAACAATGAAAAATGTACACATTATATTCTGTAAAACAAGTAACTTATTCGATGTTTGTAATATTCGTCCATCAGATTTCTAAATATAATTTATGTGCACGTAACTATATAAATATAATAGCAATATTGCATTTCGAAGTCTTTAAAATTGTACGAGCGTAATTTTTTTAACGACGGATTTGACGTTTCCCTCTTTGTGGTTTTCACGTATACCCCATCGTGTTTTACGACGTGTTTAGTTGTTGGAAACGTCCGGGGTCAGAAGGTGGTAATTTCATTGGCTTCTTCGATGGTCGTAAGTCATCTGACACTGCAATATCCTCGCGTAAACGGCCAAAAGTTTATAATAGCGCCGCTAAAGTTTCCTTACTTCATAGCTGGAATCTTTCCTTTTCACCAAGCTTCTTTCATAAGCCACTTTCATTACACATTCCCTTCTGCTTTATGATACTAACCGTTTAAAAACGTTGATCAGTAGAGCTTGTCATTGGCAGCGTTCTTTGAGCTGAAGAATTAATAATGTTCTTTTATTCCTCACTGAGCGTTATACAATATGAATATTATGTAAACTTTTCCTTTGGCGTGACTGAGGAAACCGTCGTGAATAATTTAATTTGTAGTAGCTAACCTCAGTGGCTGTCTTGTGTTTGGCAATCGTTTGGAGGATGCTAACCTATACTGTCTATAGCCGCTTGTTTGAAAAGAAATTCGTTTGCCCATCATACTAGATTCTTACTATTATTTAATGTTTCCTGTGAAGTAGAAGTGATACAAATTTTAACAGAGTGTGAGGGTAATATCAAATGAGCGACCCCTATACTTAATATACAGTTGGGGAATGTTGTATGTTGTCGTTGAAAAATATACAACTTTAGTTTCACATAACAACGCGGCGGCTTGTGAAATATCAAAATGGCGGCTGAATGCTTGACCGCAACTGCTTATTCATGTATTCGCAACTAACTTCCATATACTCCATCTGCAAGCTAAGGGCTCGCGGTTACGTGGTGACAAGAGACGGACTTAATATTGTTGCTGGCCACAGGTTTAATTGAAACTCAAGATAAATCGAAAGGTTTAGATAAAAGGGTTGCAAAGAAGGAGAATTAAAAGCGTGAGAGAGTGCGTGTGAACTGTGAAGTGTAGTCCAGTACTCGAATTTAGTCGTGTAATCTGAACACCTGTTCATGCTAATGTCCTCAGTGGTTCTAGTTACCGCCCATACAGCATTTCCTCTTCTATTCATTACCCACTGTCACTGGTTTTTGTAGTGATGCAGGTAGGCCTGTTAATGGAAAGCAGTGGCGATGTAAGATGAAAGACGCCTATACATGATAGCCAAAATCCATGACTCGTTTTATACCCCTAAATTCTTTACTGGTCTTTTCTTAACTGTTAGTTTATTGGGCGTTACAAGGGGATATACAGAATGATTCAAAAGGTTAGGGCCAAACTGAAGGAGCGTATAGAGGGACTCAGAGAAAACAACTAATAATTTGGTTTATAAGATTGCTAATGTAATCCTTGTACATTAATAAAAAACAAAATTAAGCTAGTAGGAGAATAGAAAAGTACAATTATTTTAGCGGTATGTTATCAGACTTCCCTGCCTTCAATGGCCTCGACTGACTCAGGATAACTTCGGAGGACATAGATTCCTATTCGAAAATTGTTCTCTCTGAGTTCCTCCATACGCTCCTTCAGTTTGGCCCTAACGTTTTGAATCATCCTGTATACCTACATGTATAAAACCCTTCCGTCTCCTTCGTGTTTATTATTTTCCAGAGTGAAAATACGAAGACCAGATTTCGGCGTACGTCGAAGAACATCATCACTACTCATTCGTAATTCGTTTTAATTTTTTGTCAGGCATGTCAATTATACGTCACTCTTCTATGTTTTATGATGCCCTACTCGGTTCTTGAATTAAAGCGTGTGGACCAAAATGTCCGAATTTTAATAACTTGTAAGTTTCTGGTACATTTCGAAATACAATAGGTACTTGTGCTTTGTTTTATATTTCAATTAAGTGAAATGGAAATGTGTTTTAGAGTAATTCAAATTTGTGTGTGGTTTTCGGAAAATAGTGAAACAAAAAATATATCTTTGGCTTTGGCATGCAGCTGGTAATAGTAGGCAGTCATCCCTCTCCCTCCCCCCCACCACCGCCACCACACATATGTAATGACGACTCCCGGAGTAATCATCTGTGCTTGAAGCGTCCGATTTTGAACATCGCGTTTGAATATTCTTGCTGGATGTGAATTATACTAGACTTATCAGTGCATTGACATCAGAGTCCTTCAAAAAGGTTTCGAGCTGTGACCCGATACATAATCGCCATTGATTAAACGCTTGTTATTTATAATATTATTATAAACACAAATTTAATAAATGTAGAACTTAATTTGACGAGTGTGCCAAATCTGACCATTTAAAATGTTCAATACATTAACGAAATAATGCCCATTGCGTATTAGTTTATATACCAGAGGTCCCATGATCGGAGTTCGACTATTGTGATAGGGTTTTCGTGACTTTTCTCAGTTCCTGTGAAGAAATAGCTGGAATATTGACATAGATATTTCATAATCGCTTCCTTACATAAATCATTATTTCCAATTTGTCAGTCAGAATAATCCTATTGAACTTTCAGTTGTGTGTTGTTTAGAAACGTTGTTAAATATAGATTTACAAGTAAACAATTAAGTTAGTTGAGTGTATTTATCGATATTTGAAATATGCAGATCTGATAATGGGACTGCATGTGGTTTAATACTGCTGTTATGGAGAAAACGTTACAGCATGCCATGCTGTTTTATTCGACTTGACAAGGCCAAGCTGTTGCAAGAAGTTGAAATTTAATTTTAATTATCTGGATTCGGAATCTGATTGTCAATGTCTCAAACAAAATTTATTTGAGTTTATTTTTCGATTTAGAAGTCATTTTTTGAACCCGGATGTAGTGAAATCTAGTGTGCTCAGGTGTAGCTGTAATAATGTTCGTATCTCAGACCAAATGCTCATGCCCGTCTTGTTCTTTTCCGAATTATAATTTTCGGAGGCAAGAATTCTCACCTGGGAATTGATGGAACAAATGCAGCTAATTCTTTGGTGAAGGATGTACAATAGGCAGATGATTACGACAGAGTGACCATTGTCGATTAGAGTTCGCACATCTTCCTTTTGGGTGAGGGAAACTAGTAGAATATTTTGTATTTAAAACGGGCACTGTGTGCTTTAAAAACTGTGGTCGATTTAAATGACTACTTCTTCTGATTGAAAGGACATTCACATATTACCTAAATATTTACCGAACTTACTTTCCCATGGCTGTTTTTTCGTAATTATGCATCGACACATTCTGCCTCGCAAAATAAGGCTTTCCCATGTATAAATTCCGTAATGTAATCAGTGAGTCGTAAGTCACTTGAATTACCATTTATGCGACAAGTGACTTCCTTCTTTCCCCATTGTGTTGAAGTAAGGAACATGTGATGAACTTTAACTCACAGACAATAGTTCAGAAGAGAATCTGTAAATCTATTTATATTATGATTTAATTTGTAATAC